TATGACGTCGAGGATAATGCCCCCATTGATTCTAAGCTGGTGAGGTAGGTCTTTGAGCGTCAGTCGGGCTATTCGCGTGGTTGACTCGATGCCCTCGAAGCCGTCTACTCGCCATTTTTATCTGGTCACCTCGCCGAGAGACCCAAACTCTTCCAAGGCTTTGCAGAGCACATCGTTGGGCACTTCAAAAGGCACCCTGTGGAGCTCCACCCGAACTTCTTGCCCGTTGAGGTCCACAAAAATGCACAGCTTGCCTTCTACAGACAGCCAGCCCAATTTGAGCAAACGTTGTTTTGCGGCCACGCTCTTCAGGCTGCGCAGGCACACGTGACCCATCTGACAAACGCCGAGCCCTGCGATCTCCTTGAGTAAGTCAACCATTTCCAAAGGCTCCCTGAAGTCTGCAATCTTCAATAGCCTGGCGTTTATATCGCCGTGCAGGTAAGTACACCTGGTTTTTCGCTTTATCGCCAGCCGACAGCGTCGGGAGCAGAATCCGACAGTCCGCGGGTACGTAAAATGCCCGGTCACCACGGCCGACAACGGCCGTTATCAAAGCTCGATCGAAGCTCGCCATCCTTGCGTCCGCACAGCTTGGCAGCCGAGCAAGGAATCGGCTGAGCTATCCAGGGTCGGGAGCCCGACCACGAAAAGGCGAATTCATTGGCACGGATAAAAAAGGCATCTGCGCGTTAGCGCAGATGCCTTTTTCTTTCCATCTAAACGGCCTATTACACATTTTGTGCTCACCAGTCTTCGTCACCAGTCACAAGCTTCTCTTTTTTACTTTAAATAGAACAGAAATCTATCAGCCGAGTAAACAAACAAATGGTACTAATATTTTTGTCAAGTAAAAGCACCGAGCATTTTGTAAACCAGACGTTCACTCACCGTCATCACCAGAGATTACTTTCGAGAGTACCTTGCCCAGGCCAGATTTTCGGCGCTTCGATTCTGTCAGAGCAACAGCTAGGGCCAAAAGGATGAGGATACTTAAAGTTATTTTCATTTTCTAGCGTCTGGATAAGTAGAGTTTTTCGAAACAGCTGTATAACTCAGATGGCCACGCCTGGTAGAAGCACTGAGATGGAGGCTTTTTTATAATCGCTTAAATGCACCCCTCTTTAGATATCTTAATTCCCTCAGCCTGAAATAGAAAACAGGATTGGCGGAAAAACAGTACTTATCTTTTTGCTTCAGGCGTCTTTGGACAGGATGGTAACGGCCACCACTTCGATGCCAATTAGAGGCCGGAAAAATTGCTATATTTAAGAGATTCAATATCTCACGTCGGTCGCACACCACGGTATCAAGATCCCGTTTTTTTGTTTTTTTTTCTTTTGACAGTGTTCTTGAGTTTAAAAAAAAATATCCAGAGAGGAAGTTTTTAATGGTTCGTTAAACATAACAGCGCACAAAGGACGAATACAAAGGAAAGGAGAGCATGACACACAAGCGTTGTTGTGTGTTCCTTTCTTTTGTCCTCTATGTACGCGTGTATTCCTTCGTACTTTGTATTTCTCTGTATGTGTGTGTTTCCTCCTTTGTCCTCGTCCTTTGTGCGTTGTTATTGTCCACATATCTTCATACCAACTAGCACAGATTTCAGAAACGTCCTTTTCGGGGCGTTGCGGCGTTATCGCTCATTCACATTGGAAGCGGATCCGCGTTCGCAAAGCGGTTGCAAACGCGGTTCTTTAAAGATCCAGTACAGTTGCACGCGCACTTGATGTCATCGAGTGCGCGTGCAATTGTACTGGATCTTTATAAAATCGCGTTCGCAACCGCTTTGCCAACGCGAATCCGCTTCCAGTGTGAATGAGCGGTTACCGCTCATTCACACTGGAAGCGGATCTGCGTTCGCAAAGCGGTTGCGAACGCGGTTGTATAAGGATTCGGTACAATTGCACGCGCTCTTGATGTCATCGAGTGCGCGTGCAATTGTACTGGATCTTTATACAACCGCATTCGCAACCGCTTTGCGAACGCGGATCCGCTTCCAGTGTGAATGAGCGGTTAGAGTGGGAGTGCTCCGACGATCTTGGAGGATCTTGGCATCGTACGTCTTCGGCAACACCACCTCCCGGCATTGCCGCGCCTAGTTATCCATACGGGAAGCGATGGGTGACAGGCTGTCTCGGCGAGACCGGCGGAAGGGCAATGGCGAGCGTCGTGAGGACGGTGAACGGAATCCTCGGCGGGGAGTTGACTCAGGAGATGAAGAGTGGCGGAGGTAGTCCTCGATGTCCCGAGGTCGCTCTCCGAGACGTGGTCGAGGGTCGTTGGGTTCAAACCCTCGTAAGCCTAGCTGGCGGTAGGGGCATCGTCGGTAGATGTGGTCCGCTTCACCGCAGTGGTAACACAGCGGGCGTCGGTAGGCCGTCCTCCAGACGTCGGTCTTTCTCGGCGCAACTTGTTCTGGACGAACGTGCGCCCGATCTTCCTGGCGTCGGGAATGCTGCGGCTCTGGAAGTACACTTCAGGGGGGGAGGTGCGGCATGTACGGACGCGGGACTGGGGGGGGTGTCGCCGTGTTGATGGGAACTTTAGGATGGACCGCCCGTAGTACTTCCTCGCGCACGGCCTCGGTGATGGAGAGTGTCGCTGGACGGCTTGCGGCTGGCAGCAACTGGCGGATTCCCTTCCGGACGACCTCCCGGATAATTTCTCGGATGTCCGTACCAGGAGCGTTTTCGCCGAGGGGTATTCACACGAGGGAGAAATCCCGAGGATTTCTCCCCGGCACGCGCGCATCACGAGATGAAAACGCGAGGCTTTTGCACATCGCAAAGCCTGACGTTTTCGTCGTGGGATGCGCTTGCCGGGGAGAAATCCCCGGGATTTCGCCCTCGTGTGAATACCCCGCAGAGCGGTTGCAGTGACGCTTGGACGCCGCTGGTAGTGGGAAGCGCGCGCTTGGAAAGCGCGCTCGATGTTTGTTGCCTCGGTGACGAAGGCGTCGACGGTTGCCGGCGGGTTGCGGACGAGGCCTCCAAAGATGTCGTCTCTCACCCCTCGCATGAGGATTCGTAGCTTCTTCTTTTCTGTAGCCCGAGGGTCGGCGCGGGCGCTCAGGCGCAGAACGTAATCTACGAAGCCGGTGACGCTCTCGTTGGGGCCCCGGGTCCTGGTTCGCAGTAGGTCCTTGGCTCTCTCTCGGCGGTGGTGGCTGATGAATGTAGCCTTCAGATCGGTCCTGAAAATGTCCCACGACGTCAAAAAGGACTCACGGTTCTCGTACCAGGGCTTGGCGATCCCCTCAAGCGAAAAAATATACGTTGTGCAGGCGCTGCTCGTCGGTCCAGCCATTTTGGCGGGCAACGCGTTCATACTGGTCAATCCAGTCCTCGACGTCTTCGTATTGCTCGCCGTAGAACGGAGCAGCCGTCCGCGGTACGACGGGCAGGTAAACGACGGCTGAAGCGGCCGAGGTCTGCGGCTCGTTGGCCATCGTCGCCTTCTTCGGCTTGAGCTTGGCCGGCAGCAAACCCAATTCAGCAGCCTGTCCCTGGATGCGGCGGCTGGCCCGAGTTTCACGTTCCTCGTAGAGCGGTCTTCTCGACGGGCTTGGAATCGGACTTGCGCTGCAGGCCCTCGTAGGGGTACGCTTGAAGGACATGCACTACCCAGCACCTCCGCCAAAATGTCACTAATGACAATTGATGAGGCGATGATAACTGAAGAAACTAAACGCTTAATGGGGCGAACTTGTGCCCAAAACAAACAAAACAAAAAGGGAACAGAAGGGGCGTCGATGTCGGCGAAACCGCAGGATCGCGCGCTGGGGCGAGACCGAGTCCGGCTGGCGACGCGGAGCCCCTTTTGTACACGCGTGGGCTTCTGGAACAATCGGCATGAAAATTTTGGCGTGTAGAACATTCTAACCTCGAATCAGCCCCCCAACACGGTTCCCGAATTTACCAGAACACTACATTAGAGTCAACAAAAATGCGTACCCGCGGCCAGGAATCGAACCCTGGCTTTCGGCGTGGAAGGCACGCGCAATAATCGTTAGGCCACGAGCGCGCTGCCTACTTAGGCAGCTGCGCTCGCGGCATATGACGCTCGGATGCGTTGTTAATACGAGATCGAGTATGTTTGATGAAAGGTTTATAACCCTAGTGGGCTTTGAGACAAGTTGAGAAAAGGTAAAATCAAAACAGAGCTCAATAAATTAGTTAGCTTCAGATGGGAAGGGGGTTCAAACAGAACATACATCAGACCAGATAATGTTGGGGTAATTAAAATCGCCCATTAATATGATCGGCACTCCTGGATATTGGACGGTGATTTCGTTAATGCAATTATGTAACAAATTCACAAATGAACAACTACTAGTGGGTGGTCGATAACATACACCCATTATCGTTTGTTTATGTTTAAAGGAAACGCAAACCCAAACATTCTCTAGTTCACAGGCTACAATGACAGGGCGAGAAACCAATGAGTCAGCAACCCCCAATAAAACACCACCGCCACTTCTGACGCACCTATCGCAGCGAAATGTAATGAAACGTTTTTTTTTTTTTTTTTTTACAATGAATCAGCTCGCTATCAGACACTTTGTTAGAAAACCATGTCTCTCTGAGAGCAATGACGTCGGCGTCGCATGAGTCAGCAACTGAGCACAATTAATCTCGTTAACGATCAAATTGTTTTCTTAATTATTTGGAAAATTTACTTGCTGCTCTGGGCACAGCTTCTTTTGCTTTTTCAAAAAAAATATATGTTGAGTTGAAAACGTTCAAATTGACGCCGGCTGGCAGGGACTCTACAAAATACGCGCAACCTAAAGCTTCACCAAATGCACTTAGAGATACGAACCACTTTCAAGGACACAGCCACCACTGCCAATTTTATCGAGCTGTCCTAATTGGCAGCGAGCGAATCGATACAGTACCAACTTGTTGACATCCCGTCGAGGCACCCTTGTGCTCGCAAAGATAAGAATGCACACGACTCCATTCTAATTACATTGGCTATATAAAATGTCGCTGCTTCTCACTCCTGGCCACTCTCCGCATTTCGTACTGGAAGGCTAGGCACTCGTGTATCTCATATTGCTGTTTTTTGCCAGGTTGGACGGAAACAATGAATACCGCTCTCATTTTACTTCCATTGGCCGCTCTGCTCGCGATTGCAGAGTCGTCGGTTCTCAGGCGTCGGGAGTTATCTGAAGAGGAGCAGTTTGTGAACTTAATTCGTGAGTTTTCATGACTCTTTTTTTTATTTGTAACTTTATTTCAGAAAAGAATAATAATTATATGAACGCTCGATGCTGCCCATCTCTCGAAATTACGAAGCAAGAAGCGTGAACATAGTAATAAGTTAATACCTGCTCCTTTGACGTTCACCTGTATGCAACGTCCCATTCAGTGCCCTTGAATAAGTTTCTATTTGCGGGCCAGACCTTTATCTTAGCATCGTCTTTGTATATATTCAACTTTCTTTTATATAGATATACTTTTAGGCGTCTATGTTGCGTGCGTAGAGAATATGTACAGCGGTGAGCACATGTCGCGAATGTTTTTTAGTCATACTAGCCAGGAAAAAGTGCAAGCGGTAACCCTCCGCTCCAATTGTCATGCAAACTCAGTGGCAACAAAGCTGCCTGACAATGTTAACACAAGAACTGAAGCCCTACTCGAGGGTTATGACCTCATTAAAACTATCACGAGTGCACCGCTACTTGCCAGGCGATGTGCAGTCGTTTCTGGAGGTCGTTTTCAAAGCTAGTTTGTTTTCAACAACTTCAAAACCCGACTTAGAAACAAAAAAGGGGACAAACACGCACAGGTTAATTGAGACTTGTGTGTGTTTTCCCCTTTCTCGTTTATAAGTTTCGGATTTCTAAGTTGCTCAAAGTTCACCAGCTCGCCTGCATGTTCTTTGTTATTTTTATTTTTGTGTTTAAGTTGAGCATGCAGCACAGTGCACAAAAGAGCGTGCGCAAATTGTTCATTGGGCATATCATAGACGTTCCGTAACGCACCACTCGTCGTGTTATGCCGGGCCCTCAAGATATAATAAATAAGAATGAATGTAAAGAAAAACAAGCAAACGCTAAAACATATAATGGAACCTTGCAATGGCATTCATACGCCGAATGTCAAATCTTGATGTAAAATAAGGTCACTGTAGAGTGTAGTTCTTCACTTAGCTGTATGGGCTGTTCAGATGGCTTAGTCTGGAAAATAAGAATTTTAGATTGCTATGATTTGTTTTAATTGTTTTCAGAAACCACCTGCATTGACCCCCTGAACCTAACGGAAGAAGAATCGGCTGCAGTAAGTAAATTGCGCACGTCATGGCGAATAAGCATAATCCCCAATCTCAATCAGAAAAGTGCCACCGTAACAAAAGAAAACTTAAAACATGTTTTAGGTTGAAAAGCTTATGGACATGGACGACGACGACATGACTATGGTAAGTCGGCCTGGTACAGGTGTTTAAGCATTACTGTATCATTAAGCTAACGTAGACTCCCGTCTAAGCCTTTCTCGCTATATCTATGGACGATTACAAGCAAGGCGCAGGCTGCACGTGTTTGCACTCATAGGGCACAACTCGAAGCGCCATGCTTGCAATCGTCTATATGTGGCCATGACAACCACACTTTCCGCCGCTCGGCGAACTTTTTAATGATCGAGAGCAACCCTTTTCAGTTTCAAAAAGCTGCATTGTAAAATTAAAACACAGTGCGTGCCTACTAAGAAAATTATTAAAACATTTAAAAAATGGAATCAAAGAAGGACGTCATGATGGCAAAAATTTGAGTTGGACTTGCAGACTTTTACAAAGAGCATGACGGCCGATTGTCAGCCACGCCACTGCTCTATCCTTATTGCCTTTCTTCCAGGCACATGGTGTGTGAATTACGCCTTTTATACAAAACTTCCGCCTGTTTATCATCATAACTATTTGCTGTCTGAGTTACCTGTGGAACAGTAGGCACGTTTTCCCTGCTTGTTCAGTCGCTTCACTCAACCATGTTCTCCTTGGGCACATCTTGAAAGTAGGGCGATGTTGAACCTTGTAAGGGCATGAGCGACTACCCGTTTCTCTCCGTTCTGAGAAGGCATGACTAGATAAAACCTACATTTGTCATGTTGTGTTATTAATAATTTTTATATATTTTATTTTTTTTTCAGGAAAGCGCGGAAGACCTCGAGAGATTGATCGTAAGTCCAAAAAAAAGATTGTTTAATAGATGTCCATTAATCTGTGGTCGCACTGCTAATTTTCGGTGTCTGAAATGACAAGGCCCGATCTAAAATGGGCCGTAAATTCGGCGCCCGCACGTAGCAATCATCTAAACTTTTATTCAGGTGTATTTCGCAGGTCGGTTTTAATCGGCAAAAATACGAAGTTTCTGTAAAAGATAGGAGCGAAGAACTTGCCAGGGTCATGGGCGGACGGCGACGCAGACGACCGAGTCGAGTAACGGGGCGCGTTTTGCGCACGTATTAATAGATGGCGCTCGCGACGACAATGGTCTATTAAAATGAACATAATCTTGATGCCGACGTATTTCGTCTGCATGCCGTCTGCTTTCTTTCGATGGTCGGCCACACCTCCCGACGCTGTTCCCGGCGCCATCTATCAATATGTGCATCAAACGCGCCCAGCCACTCGACTCGGCCGTCTGCGTCGCCCGTCCGCCGTTGACCCTAACAACATTCTTGGCCCCCGTCTTTTTTTTTTTTTACAGAAAGGCAGTTTTTTTGTTTTTTTTTACAAGATAAAACCGACCTGTGAAATACACCTGTGACGAAAAGTGTAGATTGCTACGAGCAGGCGCCGATTTTTGCGGCCCATTTTAGATCGTGTCTCGTTACTTGAAACACCCTTACGATTCCATCACACAAAAGGCAGTCTGCAGACACTACCTGAGGCACGCTTCTTCCTTGTGTAATATTATCCCGTCACATTGGTTATAAAAAAGACTGTCCGCATATATGTTGGAAGCACGGTATACACATGTACGAAGCAAATATACTTCGAACATCCTTGAAGAGTGTTCGCTGATAATGCTATCATCGTGTCTACAGCGAACACCCTGTCTTTTGTACGACGTATGATCAGTATTATTGCGGCTTAAAAATTCATTATTCTCGGCAAATTATTATTTTTTATGCATGCGCCGTAAAAGTGGTATTGATTCAGTAAAAGTACGAAATAACTATAGTCACTGACCAACACCTCCTACAGATAAGAAAGTCTCGGTGGTTTCCTGCGTCACTAAACAACTAGGCCATCGTAGGCCTGAGAATAGACTCGAGCGCTGCGTCAGTGTTCGGCCGGAACACGTGTCCAATCACTGAGAGCCCGAGTCCCAGCCGAACGCCGACGCCGTAGTCGTGTCCAATCTGTGGCCAACAGTGGCCTTCTTTCGTGACGGAGGGAAGCACTTAGACTTTCTCTTATCTAGAAGGTGTTGCACTGACTAGCTTAAGAAATGTACGGTGCGGCGTATTCCCATAAACCTTAGTATCGTCACGCAGCCAAGGAGATTGAGGCATGAGCCAATAAGAAGGCCGAAAGACGACTCGCGAAGAAAGAAGAGCGAACATAAGAAGCTACAAGCTTTGATTTTTTTGAAGGTCTTAGTGACTATATCTGTACAGGGTGTCCCAAAAGTAATAGCGCAGTGTTTTCTTGTTCTTGTTGTTGTCGTTGTTTTTTCCCGCAAAAATAACCTAGTCATCGCCCAACGCTCATTCTCCGTTCAAAGGTAGCACTAGCGGGCTGAAGCAGATGCCAACGTTTCAGAACTAACTCTTATCTCATTCGAAAGTTACGAGGGATTTTCTGAAAAAATTTTAATGGTAAAATGGAAACGGCCGAAAACGGGACTTCGCTCGTTTTCGGTCGCTGGCTCCATTGAGCTCTATGTATTGGAGAGCGCTCCGTCGGTTCGCCTTCTGTTGTTTGATTCATGTGGCAACGTTGCGCAGTATTTGTATGTACTTTTTCTTCCGGTGACTTTATCCCACAGTAAAAAATCCGAGGCGAAAGCGGTCTAATGTGAAATTGCAAGCCCTGATCTGTATTGTGTTGTGCGGGTAGTCAGTCAGGCCTCAGTGGGCGGCTGTTGTCTCTGTTGTAGACTAGATATTTTGGCAGTGCAGTAACCCTGCTAGCCTGGGGTCTTTAAAGGGGTCACGAAACGATATCGGGTTGGAACGTTCATCACTTTGCAGAGGCGTACTGGCCCTTCTGGCCCAAGCATACTCGCACAAACCGTCCCTGATTCAGAAGCTTCTTTGTCGCGGTAAAATTGCGAGGATAAGAGGCAACTATTTCTTTCAGTCTTGCCTTCGCAAAGCTTGATGACGTAATTGTGGGACCGAAACCACCCGCCTAACAATTGTCGAGCGCGGCTCATGGATTGGACGCGCGACTTGCGTGGGCACTCGAGTTCAAGCTGGTAACAATGAATGTCTCGGCGAACACTCGGGTAGTTGCTCGTGTCTCCCAACCACTGCGGTGATGAGGATAGCCGAACTCTAACAATGCCCGAAGCTCAGCGCGCGTTTTCTAGGTTGCCAACCCCAGCGCATCGCTATGATTGACGTTGGCGGCATAGGAGAGGCACCGGGCCACGTGGCCGCTTTTTCTGGCTCCGAGTTGAGGGGATGAACGACGCCACAGTCCTTCCCTAAAAGATAAATTAAGGCAAGTTTATTCGGTAAATAACGTTAGAGAGTGATTTTGAGTTGTGCTTAACGAATGTAAAAAAATTTGTTTCATGGCCCCTTTAGTGCACACCACGCATTAGTGATACGCGGCCGCACGCCGGCACGCACGCTCTTTCCGATTAAAGGCAGAGGTGAGAGTTTGAGCCCAGGAGGTCTCGGTTATACTGCGCGAGCTTTTGCTCCACGTGCCCCGAGCTGCGCTGTGTTAACGCTCTCGATCGCGGCAAAGGCCACGATTATATATCTAAAGCCGGGGTCACCCTACTCATGCATCATACAAAAAACTCGGAGGTCAGTGAAAACATGATGAAAATAATTATCTGCCGACAGGACCCTAGAATGTTTAAAGCATACACATGCTTCATTCATGTGTATGCTTCGCAAATATCTGCAGACAGTCTTTGTATGCCCACTGTGACCCGAATACATAGAAGACAACTCGCCTCGTACAGTGTATGCAGACTGTCTTTATATATATATATATATATATATATGATGTATTAGCAGTGTGAGCGTCGCCTAATGAGCTTCTTGGCGTCACTGGCTGGGTTGCACAACCACCGGTACTTCGCGTACTCTGTAGGATAAAAGTGGGCACAGTGGCATTATGTCGAATGTGTGAAGAGAAGCGTGTCCTTTACCCGGAAGGGAACAAATAAATGACGCGCAAAAATGGTCGTTTGTTTTTACGGCATCTGAATCGCGGCTAACCTGTCCTTCTCGCCACAGGAGCAAGTGGCACCCAACGAAGCCGTGGCGAATTCCCTCAAACCGAAAGTCGCCACAGTCATTGTAAGTGCATTTTACTGAGCTTAGGCAACTTAAATAGTAGTGATAATATTTAATAATGCTTAATATTCAAAATGTTATATTGATATGGTAATACTTAACATTATTTATTATTTAAAAAATAGTATTATAATGATAATATTGAATAATATTTAATATTGAAAATTTAATATAAATAATATTTATTAGTATCGAATGATATTTAAATATTATTGAGAAATAACCATTGTTGCATCGACTACTATAATAACGCAACTTTAAATTTAAGGGGTTTGCATTTGGATTCAACGCAGAGATTGTTGGATGCGTGAGCGTATGTGTCACGAATATTTTAGGTAACCCTGGGACCTTAATATGAAACCAAACCTTCAATTACATGACATCTGCACAATAATAATTTTTCGCCATTGGCCTTTTTTAGGTTGAAAATATAGCTTTAACTGTATAAGTGTCAGATTGCCGCATTTTTCATTGTCCCCGCACTCCCCCAGCAGATTGTATGCCTATTTACTATGGGTGCTCCATGAACTCTGTTCATCCTACACGCAACCCGAAATTTTATTCCATCTCGTCTAACTCTTCACTAATATAACGGATTATTTTTTTCGCTTATGTGCACAATAAATTTCAATCAATATATAACACCACGCAAAGCAAAAAGAAAAAAAAAACCTTTTGTTTGTGTGCAGAAATTATCAAGTGTCACTTGTACGAAACGCTCGCAGTCTCACATAGTATTCCTTGGTATATTATGTAGACTTCAAGGTACCTTGGCCAAGTTATTTCTGCAAAAAGTAGGCATCGCTGAAACAAAAAAATGTCGCATTGATATTTATCAACTGAGATATTCAGGAAATTTAATAACGTTTGGTAAAATTAGTTTATTCGTTACTTTTTAGTTATTAGTTTTTATTAGTAGGTATGATTTTAATTACAAACGTTCTTGATATCACTATGAACCGCTATGAGATGCGTACTCTTTGCAGCAACGACTTGACCGGCATACTGAGAAACACTGTATGAACAATACCACCCGAGACCAGGGAACATAGAAATAAGACAAAATGCACAGGGTTCTAACTCAAACCATTTGCTTGTTTCGCTCATTTTTTTTTCAATTCTCTATTCGTGTTTTACTTTATTGTCAATTCACCACCTCCCCCGTCACTTCACTCTCATTTATTTCAGTCTAAGTTTATCGTATACACCGTCAAGTAAAAACAGCTCCTAACTCTATCGCGATAGCCTCCTCCTCTTGTAAACGTCACCCCCTCTCAGTCGATAACAATATATGTCATCTCCTTTATGATTAGGCCATTATTTCGCCGAGAGAAAAATTGTGAAATTGAAAGGACCGTGATGCCACTTTTCACTCTTACAGGCATGCGTGGCAGGGGAACTCCTGAAGATTCTCGGACTTCAGCGTTAGGGGTGGCCACCGCTACCATACGCTGGTTCGCAGGACACAAGGTTTCTGCAGCCTGGGGAAAATAAGGAACAAATAAACCGGATAGTTATATTAGTGCCATAGTATACTCGAAAGAGATTTGTATGTCGTTTGGGCAACGTATAAAGTTGTCATTTTGCTTTCATATTAATGAGTTTGAGGATAGAAGTAAGCTGGTTACGTATTAGTGTTTGTTGTTGTATGTGTTCAACACAGGTGCAACGCGTCCGCGATATCTAAACGGGTTTTTGGTAGAGGACTCCCCGAATGTGACGTATCCTCACACAAAGTTAAGGTACCTATATAGTATATTCATTCCTTGGTAGGCCGTGTTACCATCCCGCCATGCAGGTCTCGACTAGCTAAGAATGAGTGGTTTCGCCCCCAGCGTGAGAGCCCCAACGAATGAGGCATTAAAGAGGGTATCCATGGCTTTGGTCTTTACGCAGTTTCATCAAATAAATATTTATACATTTGTATATTCATTTGACTGGCTGCTTTTTTTTTTTTTTTAATCTTTGGTTGGTTGTCTGGTTGCATGAATGCTTTTTTTTTCTTTTTAGGACGGAAATTTTTTGAGGGTATTTATTGAATGAAACAGATATATTCCAGGTATATTTATTTGTTTGTATATTTTTGTCGTTGTTAAAGGAATACTGAACCGAAATTTCGAGCTCAAAAAACAAGCTGCACGAATAGGCGAGACGCTGCAAAATACACAAAAACACCACTCATACAGCGATATCTTAAACGGATCGCCGTACTTTTAGAAAGAAATGCGGGATTGAAAACTGCCGACGAGGCCGACGAGACAAGTCACGTTACGATTCTCATTCCTTCTCCTCTTCGCTTCGTCCCGTCGAACTGGTGAGCCGAAGCGAGGAAGAAAGAATCGAGGCCGCTTCTCCTCGTTCTCGAATGTTCCAGGAGGACAATGACGTCACAGCCCTCGCTTGTTCGCGCCCTTCCTTTCCAAAAGTAAGGCCATCTGTTTAATATATAGATGTATGAGTGATGTTTTTGGAGTTCGTAGCGTCCCGTTCAATGCTTCTGCGGCCTTATTCTGCGAAATCCAGATCTCGGTTCAGTATCTTAAAGGCTCTACGGCTATTGCATTGTATAACAGCGGCTAAATGTTTTAAACGTTGATTCGATTGGTTCTCGCATCTTGAACGAGTGGCTCGTGCCAACCTCGTATATTTGCACCACGGTAAACATTTCGCGCTGCTGTCTTTCTTTGGAAAGCTAGGGAACGCATTCTGCGCATGCGCACTAGCTCTCTTCAGCGGAATATCTAACAGCGTGCATCCGTCCAAGTGACTCGGCACTTTTCGAGTGGGCGATAATCAATGGAAACGTGTCTGTAAGGTTAAGAAAGCGTTGTACCTCGTAAAAATGTAAAAGTATCTCACGAATGTTTGTCATGACCAGGATAAGAGCCTACGTTAATTCACATAAAATTTGTTTGTAGCACCTTTGCTTCGCCACGGTAAACAAGCTATGATCTGGAAAAACATTTTTTTTTTAATTTTTATATAAATAAATCGGCTTTGGTTTATAAGCACTAATTATTTTTTTAGTCGGATTTATTTACCTTGCAAGAAGATACGTCGATTCACGCTTTGATACTTGGACACTATTTACATATATTTACCTAATATACAAACGTTGTGTGTATGAGTGAGAGTGCACTCATTTACTCACTCACTTACAGAGGCACGCGGAGAGAGAGAGGAAGAGAGAACCGGAAATGGTTGATTTGAAGTTGTCATAGGCGTGCGTCATACAGCATCGCTCGTGGAGAGCTAAAGCAAAAAAACTGCTGCGGTTAATGGGTCATATATACCCGCTCTCAGAAAAAAAGGAAGCTGCTCTTTGGCGGTTACAGTCGCCCATGAAGAAGAAACCGAGTTAATTCTAAAACGTTGCCTGCCCCCCCCCCCCCCCCCCCACACACACACACATACACACACAAAGACATGCATTTGAAGCAGCCACGAAGCCCTGCCTCATCAGAAAAGCCCGGCAATAAAAGTCGTGTTTTTTCAGAACGAGAAGAAAAGTTCCAGCTTTTGGACTAGTTTTCCTGTGTGTGTGTCAACAAGAGAATTCAATTTCACACTAGCCCTTAGTCATATCAATTTATTAAATCATTACTACATTTAAACTATACCTTTTCCCTCCCTTCACCACGAACGGGGTTCTCCATCATCTCCGACGATCCACGAGGGGTCCGCGAAACATCGATGGTTGAGAACCACTGATTTAGAGTAGAAGAACCTGAACTTATAATTGGGCTAGTGTGTGAACGTTATCAAGCACAAAGCAAGGCGCACAAAACAACGTTGTTCTTTGAGCCTTGCACCAAGGTTCATACATACTTAGAGGTTCATTGGTACCCATGTACCGCAGCTGTTTTAACCAAAGTTGTTTTGTCTGGCTTTTTAGCGCCTTTTTACCTCGTGTAAAAAGGCGCTAAAAATCGCCCACAAAAACAACTTTTTTGTGGCCGATAAAACGCGCGGTACTTAGCGCCACCTAGCTTAGGATTTTGCAATTAGTCTGCCTGTGCATACCATGTGGTGGCTAGCGATATAACCTTTCACACTTCGCGAAATTCTTTGGAACGTGCAATGATTCAAGTGCTGCTTTGAATTCGCTCTTTCGGTAACGACTTTGGTTTCGCGAACGGTTTACCACTCTTTTGGCGTGCGGTGCTAACGAAGGAAATGTGCCGCGGGGTATTGCAAAAGTGATGTGTGGGCAGTGGCCGGGTTTGGTTTGTTTCCGTCTAACGTTAAATTGTTGAAAACGAGGGTACATATCACATGAGCGAATGACGCTCTAGCGAACAGCGCCATTTGAGCGGATCGACGTATTAGCGAATAACGGGGGCGCGTAATAACCCCCCCCCCCCTCTCTCTGCGCTGCGCTTACGCCGCATCGCGGTGGCAGTCTGCGGCGGCTTATTATAACAATTTTAAACCACTTGGCCCTCCCGTAAATGCTGCTTCGTGGCGGCCTACTATTTGCTAAAGGGTCTTTTCATGAAAAGTCGGCGTTCGGTAAACTGCCCTTCGACCAACTGGGTGCCACCCTTGTAAACGAGAACACTCAGTGACAGCGTTCAAAGCGCATTTTTTTTACCGGCGCGGGGAGCCGGCTTCGGCAATATAGTTGATGAAAAGCTCGTGTTACGTTTCCATTATTAGAGCCCTTGCTCCAATAATTGACTTGTTTAGATGGGAAAAAAATTGAGGTGTGGGTATCTTTGTACAGCCTGCACTTAGTCTGCCTCAACGGACGACCTGTCTCAGCCGTTGATGAGAAACATAGCCAGTGCAGTACAACCGCTAGCTTGGAGTCTTTAACGTACATCACACAGAAGTAATACACGTTCGCGAACCGGTATACAATGCTCATCCACATTGAAACAGGCAGGAATGGAGACTAAACCCTAGATCCAACATGAGCTCTCGATCCACGTTTTCCGAGCTGGTGTGCGCTAGCCCACTCGTCCACTGATCCCCCCCTTTTTTTTTCTTTTTTTTTTTATGTGTGCGAAGCGGTTGACTGTGTTTCTCGCAATAGCTGTTTAGCAAGCCTGGTGGGCCGCCACTGGTGCGAGGTAATTGCCAGTCCGAAAACTAAGCTATTTTCGGTTAAATTGCGGCAGCGTTCCGCATAAAAAAAGACGCTATGCGTAGCGTCCTGGCGTCCTTATTAAGCCCTACTGAGCTCGATTCACTCGATTTGGAGCCTCCATATCGCTACGGAGACGAGGGAGGAGCTCTGCTCCCCCGTTTGTAGAGACGTACGTTGCTTCGTTTCTAAAGGAACATAAAGGACAAGATTATTCCTCCCTTTATGGAGTATATACTATACACCCTCTTCTTAAGAATGATATGGTTCAACGGCAGGAAGGCACTGAGCAAATCACCCCGTACGAAAGTCGGACACAGTCTAAGGCGGAGGGCAGCTACTCAACGACAGAAAGAGAGTGTTTTGCTGTCGTCTAGGCTATAACGAAGTTCCGTCCCTGTCTGTATGAAAGCCCCTTCCGCGTGGTCACAGACCACCACTCGCTCTGCTGGCTCGCAAACTTAAAGGACCCCTCAGGACGCCTAGCAACGCTGGAGTCTCCGACTGCAGGAACTGGACATGACCGTCGTTTACAAGTCCGACCTCATGGCACATTGACGCCGATTGTCTCTTGAGAGCAACCGTCGAGTCAGACTCTACGTCTACCAAGGACAATGAAGACGATGTATTTATCGGCGCACTCAATGTCCAGGACATGGCAACACTTCAGCGGAACAACGTGGAATTTCTTGCAGTGATTGAGCACATGGAAGGTAATGGCAATGCACTCCCTTGTGTCCTTGCTTGCCCGCGTGCGACTTCGGGGCCAGAATCAGCACTGCCTATGGTTCTTTTAAAAAATCTCAGTGGAAAGGTCTTTCAAGCATGCCTCAATGACCCGACAGCTGGACACCTCGGCAACAGTAGGACGCTGGCCAGAATTCGCCAAAAATAACTACTGGCCTATGCTCTCTAAGACTATCCACAATTCCGCGAGGCCGTGCCATGAGTGCCAACGACGCAAGAAACCGCAGACGAAACCGGCAGGACTCCTGCAGCCGAACACCTCCCCAAAGCTTGCTATTTCACACCATCGGCACAACATTGACATCAAACTATCGACACAACGAAACCGGTGGATCATCGTTGCGACCAACTACCTCACACGGTAGGCCGAGACCAAATCCCTGTCGGGAACTGCAGTGGAAGACGCAAAGTTCTTCGTTGAATTGATCGTTCACAGGCACAGTGCCCCCGAAGTACTGATCACAGGCCGATTGTCGTCGTTTTTGGCACCGCTAACTCAATAGATCCACCGGCTCAGTCACACCAGGCATCGTCGAACGACGGCGTACCATCCGCAGACGAACGGGCTGACAAAACAGCTAAGCAAACCCATCACCGACATTATCTCCGTATGTACGTCGACGTGGAGCACAAGACGTGGGATGAGGACCGTACGTCACGCTTGCCTACAACACGGCGGTTCAAGAGACCCCTGAAGTTGCACCTTTTCAGCTGGTACATGATCGGAAGGTAACGACCATGCTCGACGCGATGCTACCTCACGTGCAAGCTGACGATGGAAACAACGACGCTCATGGTGGTTGCTCAACGGGCCGAAGAAGTCTGTCAGGTCGTCTGACTCCGGATTCAAGACCAGCAACGCATCAACGCAGGCCGCACCTTCGTCGTAGAGACGTTCACTTCCAGCCCGGAGACAAGGTGCGGGTTTGGACACCCATTCGTCGCCTTGGCCTCAGCGAGGAACTGTTGAAACGGTACTTCGAACAGTACAAGGTATTTCGTCGCCTCAGGGAACTCGACTACGAAGTGCTGCCCGGCGGAATGCAAATATCATGACGCTGACCATGACCCGAGGTGGTTAACGTCGTTCGACACA